GACGCTGCCATTTAAATACAGTCTATATAGATACTGAGGGGCCCCTCAGAGCCCGCGTGTTAAATGTGTGGTCCCAGCTCATACTGCTATGGGAGATTGTGGAAACCTTTAAGGTGGAGCTTAACTGGAGACCTTTGGGTCACTGGGTGTGTGTCTGTTAAGGATGTAATGTAACCCCAAAACCCTTAGTTTGCACCTATTCTCTTTCTAAAAAAAAATGTTTATTTTTTTTGTGTTAGTGTGTGCCTGTGTGTGCATGCATGTGTGCGCGTGTGCGTGTGCGTGTGTGTTTGCACTTGTGTGAGTCTATGTGCACCACACGTATGCAGGAATCCTTGCAGCAGAACAGAGTATCAGAGTGCCCCTCTGAATTTGAGTCACAGTTGGGTATGATCTACTGCCCCAGCTCCCAGTTTGTGTCTCCCCCTCCCCACCACATTGGAGTCATGAGGTGAGCGGTTTCCCTCTAGGTCACATTCCCTGCCATGATGGCTCACCACGGGCTCCAAGTCACGGACGGACGGAAACCTCCCCAAGCGGGAATGAAAATGACCTTTTCTGCTTAGGGGCTCTTGCCGGTGTCTGCTATGGTGGCAGAAGACTGAGTAACACAACGGATAAGATGGAACTGGGGACATGAGGATGGGGGATAAGACGAAATCACTTCTCCACGGTCACCATCTCCCGAATCCTATCTGCTCTACCCCAGTGTGCTCAGGGAAATGGGCGATGGCTGCAACCACGGAGGCCACCGTACTAAAGTTTATAGCAAAACTTATCTCCCAGCCCCACCCCTGCCTGGCTGTTTAGAGGGAGCTTCCTCTGTGAAATTTTCTTTTCATATGCTATTTATAACTGGCCAGGGACAGCTCCAGTCTTACCCACAGCGCTTTCCCTACAACACACACTGGGCCGGGAAAGCACGGGGAGGCAAAGTGGAGGATGGTAAGGGAAGCCCTGAAAGACAGGTGGATAGGTCCTACCAATAATGCGCTTTTCATTACAGCATTACATGCTGCGTTCCTTCCCCGTCAAGGGGACGTCAGTGTCAACTGCCTACTCTTCAGTCCCTCATCATGGCCTTGTTTGGTGCTTCCAGAGTCTCCCAGGTGGGTGAAGAATGATGCCAAGGGATGCCATATGGTCCACTTCACTGTTTCCCAGGAGTCAACAACCGCTTCCTCTACAGAGCTTCCCCCTTTTGTCAGTACAGGAAGTAAGGATCCTAACTTGGGTATTTTAAAGTGGGGCCTTGGGTGGATCCTTTCTAGAATGTTCTGGCTGCACGGTGGAAAACTGCCTCCAATGTTGTCAAGGTTAAACCTGCCTGGTCATCACTTTGGAATTGCCCATGTGTCACAGATGTATCCCTCTTCTCTTCTGGCTTGTACTGAGTTATGGCCTAAAGCCTGGGGTGGGGGAAGGGGGTAGGCGGCATTAAACATGGCTGATGCTGAAATGCTTAGAGATCACGGAGGGAGGAAACTGATGTTTGGATCTATCCTGCTCCACTCCTCCCACTCCACACCATAGACCACATATTTTCCCCTCACAAAGGAAAACATTCCTGACCTTTGTTTAAATGTTTACCAGAAGCTGTCTGGACTTGCAGGCTCTAAAGTCACATTATTAGTCACATCCTTCTTCGTGTGTGGTGTGACCCTCCAATCGAGACAGTAACGCTTGGACCCTGAGCAAAATCCATTTGGTTGGTGATGGAAGCATTAACTACCACCCAGGGACTCTCACTGAGCCTACGTTCAAGTGGAAGCTGCAGTCATGGGGTTCCTGGTGGCGGCCAGGGTTTCGGTTGTGAATGTATGTGAAAAAAAATAAAATCCTCTTACCCGAGATACTGGTTACTTTTCTCACTGTTGTGATAAATGCTTCACAGAAGCATCTTAAGGGAGGAAGAACGTTCTCGGGCTCACGGCCAGAGAGGCACTGCAGCTGGAAAGACTCCTCTGTGGCAGTGACGGTTTGGAACACCGCTTGTGGCCACCTTGGCAGGTCAGAAAACAAGAGCGTTTCGGTTGGGAGGGTGGCAGGTTATAACCTGCAAAATCCTTCCCCAGTTAGCTCCTTCCAGCCTCGCCTCCTACCCTAAAGGTCTCCCAGCTACCCCAAATGGTGCCACCCATTAGGAATCTGGTGTTCAAACACATGAGCCCACTTTACATTTCCGATTCAAACCATAATAATTCTAGAGCCTATGGGATCCTGACTAATTTTGACATATTTATGAATTTATCACGTGTTTAGGTGTGCATGCATGTATGTGTGTGTGTATGGGCACATGCATGGTACAGCATCCACGTGGAGGTCAGAGGACAATTTGCAGGAGAAGTTGTTTCTCTTCTTCCACCATGGGGGTCTTGGGCCTCAAACTCAGGTGGTCAGATTTGGGGGCCACCTTTACCAGCTGAGCCATCTCACTGGTCTCCGATCCTTGACTTCTGAAACAGAACTAGAGTCCTCTATTCAGAAAGAGAGAGCCGTGGTGACTCTAGGTCTCCAACACAGGATGAAGGATCGGGCGGAGTTTTTGTTCTGGCTCAGAAATGCTTCTACTCTGGGGTTGTAATCAAATCATTTTTGCCCTCCTGGTCCTTTGACATTGATAAATTAGATCATGCCTGGGACTTTATGTAAGTCATTTGCACACAGCAGACTTTGGATGCACAGGTAATGCATGCCAAACCAACCCAGCCAGTGGTGTGGGTGTGTGTCGGGCAGAGGAGAAAGCCAAGTGTCAGAGGGGACACTGTTGACAGGCAGGCTAAGTGGGACTTGGCTCCAGTTCCCACCATAGTCTGGTGGTCTGCGTTTTTTGTTTTTGTATTTTTTTGTTTTGTTCTTTGTGCTGATAGGGATTGAACGTAGGGGACACTCTGTTTTTAACTGGTTAAATGGGAAGGCTGAAGTAGGGATTGAAGAAGTCCATTTGGGGCCTTGAATCCTCTCTGATTCTTTGTTGCTACCTGTGAAACAGAAGGAAATGGGAGCACGTAGCAGCCTGAGGACTCAGTGATGGTAAGAAGCCCTCCCTGAGAGTTAGCCTTCCAAGTCCCAAAGGGTGCTTTATAATTTTCCTTTATACATCACCATAGGCCCAGACTGATCTGGGAGCACTCTGCTTATATCCAGAAGAGACGCCTGCCACATGTGGACTCTCTTGTCTGATCTATGAGTCCAACTGCAATTTCAATTACATTTTTGCTAATTAAGAGAAGGTAGGCGGCTGTCAAAATGGCTTAGCAAGCAAAAGAGGCGCTTGCCACACAAGCCGGGCCGCCTGAGTTGGATCCCTGGAGCTCACTCAAAGGTAGAAGGAGAGAACTGATTCCGCAAGGTGTGCTCTGCCTCCCACACATGCGTGTAGTGGCGCATCTCTGGCTACACACACACATCATAAGAATAAACGTTTCTAAAAGCTAGAGAAATTTCCTTTAAATTTACAGCAGCGTTTACATTACCTGGGGGAAACATTATTCTTTTCAAATGTTTTCACTGGCATTAGAAAAACGCAAGAGTTTTTCATTTCCTTTTTAAAATGAAAAAATAAAGTCATACTATTACTTTGCAGGTCTCCCCTATTCACTGCGAAGTCGATGTATCAAAGTGTGTCTTTGCAGATCATTATGAACAGATCGACTTCATGGTCTTCTAACTGTACCATGTTCCACGGCATGGATTCATTCGCCTACGAGAAGCCTGGATGGGTTTTCTTCTGCGTGTTAACTACGAGTCCACCCTACTCCTTTATGTACATCCTGATGCTCTTGTTTCTGTATGATGGGTTATGATGGGTTCCCCCATTCTGAGACTGCTGGGTCCGAGGGCACGAGAACATCTAACAGGTATCCCTAGACTACTCGGGCAATGCACAGCCCTGGTAATAGTTATGAGGATGCTCGTTTTCTCACACATTTCCCAGCAGGGAGAGGATTCTGGTAAAACTAGGTCAAGCTGAAGGGGCAGCGTGGCTGGGGACTGTTCTTCTCATTGCACGCGGGGACTCTGTGTGAGGTCGAGCGGATCGTCATGTGCTTCACTACCGGCTGTCTGTGTTAGTTGCCCCCCCTCTATAGATCTCAGCCTTATCCCCTGGAGACAGGGTCTCTCATTGACCCCGAGGCTCGCCATCTTGGATAGACTGCCTGGCCAGTGAGCTCTTGGGATCTGCCTGTGTCTCCAGTGCCAGTGTTACAGGCATATGTGGCCATGCTTGGCGTCTTCGCAAGGGTGCTAGGGATTCAAACTCAGATCTTTATGCTTTGCACAGCCCGAGGGCTCTGACCCTCTGCACCACCTCCTCAGTTCACCCGCCCTGCTGTTTTTAAGGGGCTACTATTTGCTCTTGTGTTTCTTTTGACTTTGCTTTCTATTTCAGAAATACGTCTTTTATTTCTAACGATGAGATGTTCACTTCAATTTCGAGTTCTTCTAATTCTTATTTTAAAATGTCTCGCCGGGCGGTGGTGGCGCACGCCTTTAATCCCAGCACTCGGGAGGCAGAGGCAGGCGATCTCTGTGAGTTCAAGGCCAGCCTGGGCTACAGAGTGAGTTCCAGGACAGGCGCAACGCTACACAGAGAAACCCTGTCTCGAAAAACCAAAAAAAAAAAAAAAAAAAAAAAAAAAAAAAAAAAAAAAAAAAAGTAAATAAAAAAAAAATTAAAAAAAAAAAGTCTTTTAGCTCATTTTATAAAACAGAGCTACAGTTTTTACGTTCGGAGACGCGTTCTTCAGATATGTTTTTAGAGATGGCGTTGTCTGACCCTCTCAGAGTTTTTTTTCCCAGTGCTGGGAATTCAAACCAGGCCATCCACAGGCCACGCAGGCGCCCACAACTGAGCTCCACCGCCCAGCCCTCTCTGTTCTTTCCAGCGTGAGACTCGATTATGATCTTACTCTGTGCTTATTTTGACGTAAAATCCATACACTTTTCGGAGGAGCGGCCGCCCACGATTCCTTTCTGTAACGCCTCGGAGCGCCATTTTGAACTTTCTCGTTTGGTGAGAACGACTTGATGACCTTCTTTCTGTGGCTTCCTGGTTTTGTTTCCCTCCCCAACTTTTATCTGCCCCTGTTGTCTCTGGATCGTCCAGTTCTGAACTGCCTGTGCACGTGCGTTCGCAGCAGCTCTTTGTAGGTGAGAGGTCCAGGAGCCTGCAGCCCCTTCCGCACCTCCCCTGGGTCCCCGGTACCTACCCGGGTGTGGCTGTCCCAGGGAGCATCAGCTGGGACTTCTGTGAGCCGAGATGTCACCACGTGACTCCTCCCTTCCTGCATCCGCCCTCATGGCGGCTGACTTCCCAAGGTCTTGGGGCACAGGTTCCCGCCCGCTTGCACTGTGGCATTTGCAGGGCTCGCTTGTCACCTATGGTTTTTGATAGCGAGCAGTTCTGTGTTTTTACTTAATTTTTTTTTAAAGCTATGGTAAAACACATGCGACACTAAACATTAGCATCTTAGCTCTTCCAGTGCCAAGGACGGAACCAGGGAATGTCACACACGCTAGCGAAGTGCTCTGCAACTGAGCCACCCACCCAACTCCATCTCAACCGTTTTACAGTTCAGTAAAGTACAGTTGGTCACCACTCATGATGGCTCAATCTATGAGCTTAAAAGGTGACCATGGCACAAAAGTGGTAACGTTCAGTGGAAGCTCTATGTGAGATTTTGAGGGTTTATCTTTCCCAGGCTAGCACTCTGAGGGTGAGACATTCTCGAGATGTTGGGTACCAGTGATGAGCCTCAGTGATCAGTCGGCTACTCAACCGCAAGGGGAACGAACACTGGCCAGAGCAAGTGTGTGTGCTCCTATGTTACGATGTAATTGGTTATGTGTATTTGATGCATGTTGACGGACTGTATTTTCGGTTTGTGATGTGGCTCTAGCAGCACGTGACTCCCCACGAGCTGAGGAGCGTCGATCCACTCACACTGTTCTGCAAGCCATCTTCAGAATTCCTTTCATCTGGCAAACCTGGAGCTCTGTATCCATTAAACAACTCCCATCTCCGTCTCCCGGCTCTGGTGGCTCCATCTGTTCTGCCATGGAGACCGAGTTCAGGGAGATGGAGACACTCTGCTGATGCTATGTCCCCATTAGCGGAGACCCCCTGCAGATCGTTCTAGAGCCCTGAGCTATGGTGTGGTGTGGAACTCAGGAAGCAGTCCCACTCTGAACTGAGGACCATTCAGTTAAGAGAATGAGAACTAAGCAGGGTCCTTCTTAGTTCCTATAGTGTTTGGCAGGGTGACAAGATGCTCTCTTGTGCTCATGAAAGTGACTGATGGGTAATGCAAGAGTTGCCACCCTCACACCTTTCCAGGTCAACATGCAACTCAAGCTTCTAGAAGGCAAGGCTGCTCACTCTTCATTACCTACTGACTGGTGGGAAGAAACAGATGATCTCAAGTAGACACCAAGTGTAAGCGACTTTATATTTTATTCTGTAGAAGCTGGTGGCAGGTTTCCTTACTAGCTGGTTGGTCCAAGATAACGTGAGAACGTAGTAGTCCCTGGACTCTGCTTGTGAGTAATTGAAGAGAAAGGGGCCCAGATACATGTAGGGTGGCCTCCTTAAAAGCAAATGTGTGACACACGTGCTCACCCGGTGGCTAAGTAATCGGCTCTGCAACGAGAGTCCTTGCTACCATCACTGGCAGAATCAAAGGGAATATAATCTTGCATTCACAGAGGGCTTTACCGTCTGGAGGTTTCAGAGTCAGCATTTCATTCATTTTTATAACCCCGGTCACGGCCATCAGAGGCAGGAGTTAACGGGGTTCTGTAGCATTATCGATATAATCTGAAGAGGGGTTGGAAGAGGGCACGTGCAAATTACGAATGGACAAAAAGCAGAAAGGCAGAACTGACAGTTTTTACAAACAAAAAAACTCCACAATCACACAATGAATCCAGAAAGTTGCTATGCATAGTTTCAGCGCCCTGTTTACGCAAGAACTCATCAGTCTGAAAGAAGTGTCCCATTTCCAACAGGAACTACTGGGTACCGCCTTCTCTGGTTTGTCTAAGCTCAGCACTGCAGTTCTTAGGACAAAGGTATGCTGGCTTTCAGGGCTCAGCGGGCCACATTCTTATTCCGTGAATTTGAAATGCATGCACACAATGGTGAAATCTCCCCAGAGGACTCGGTTTTATTCAAGCGGATTGAAAAGCAATTTGTCCACAGGCTTATGCTGTTCAGTGGCTAGGTGTTATTTTTAGAAAACACGGCGATTTATCTGATTACCTCTTCTAATTTGTTTTACTTTGTCCCCCCCCCCCTTGGGAAGTGAAATGACACATTGGTTATTTTATTTCACAAAGCAAACAGATCCAGGCAGTATGCACACTCTGGGAGTTACATCACCTGGAATTAGCCAAGCTGATCACAGGGATTTGGGGATGATTTTATCACACTGTATCAGATAATGCCACTGCCCAAACCTGAATACTTTAAGTTATTTTAATGTATCCAAGGACATCTGTTGATTCTCTGGATATTTTTCTTGAAAAGCACATATATGACCTTACAGAATAAGCACAGGCATAAGGACTTCTTGTGCTAGTAATAATCAGTTACTGGAGACTGTGGAGATGAGCAGGAAACACACAGTAAGAACTAAAGCCAGGATGAATAGATTAAGAACTATAAACAAAGCCAAGAAGCGG